ATGAGTGGATGTTTGCTTCTAGTGGAGAGAAGCTAGGGTACATTTCTACAAAATTATAATGGCATATATAATTTTCTCAAGTTCTCGGGTGCAGATATGTCAGTTCCAAATTCAAAATTGGAAGCATATATGTAGTATTTATTAAGCTGAATAAATACATGGTTTATTTTATCATGAGTAGCACATAGCAGTGTGTATAGATTAGCCGCCTTCCATGTCTCGTTCTAAAATTAATCTGAGATTAATCACTGGGTTAATCTGAATGAAAAAAAATCAAACTAGTTTACTATTCTCTTGAAACTCTGACTGCAATGAGATTTACCATGGGGAAAATAAGTTATGATGCCAATTAATACAGTAAAGACAGAATTAAATGTTAATTTCATTGATTATACCGGTTTTCAAAAGAGCATATTTCATCTCCCCATCAGAAGAGCTCCCCAAAAAGGAACCATTATTCTATGGAAATCAGTATGTAAAAACTTCCAGAGACCAGAACTTGATAACTTCAAAATGAGACTAAAACTGATCTGCCATAACAATAAAAAAGAAAAAATATATGGTAAAGCAAATAGTCTATTTAATTTGAACAAGCAATGAACTTTTCTTTTGTTGCATGAAATACTGGTGTCCTTAAGAGAAAAATGACAGGTATGGGAAGAAATAGATTACTTCAACTATCTTCCCTTCACTATGTGTATTTTTACGCTGTGTACATCTGCTTGGAGTGGAGTGTGAAGTGTGTTATATCTAGGCTGCTTTATGTATCTTGCTTAGATAGTTTCAGGTAGTGCGACACTCAATGGCAGCCTACAGTACAAGCAGATGCATGGTCATAACAATACTGTGCTATGAGACAACCAGAATTAAGTAGGAAATTTTGACCTTCTGCCTCTGACCACAATAGAATAGCTTTTCTTTTCCATAATGAAAATATTTCATTTTACTATAGGATGGATTATTTTACTATAAGAATGGGGTTGATACCAATCTCTCACAGGGTGACACAGACTCTTGCCAGGTGCACTCTCACCATTAAATGAATGGTTCTGGAAGCATCCCAAGTACGGGAGTGGGATGGAGCAGCTTTGTTTAATGAAGAGGAGATAGTGAGCTCAGAGAGCACCCAATCGCTCTGATCCTTGAGTCTCAGGGTGCATTCATGAGTGTATTGAATAGATACTTTATGAAGGAGAAGAGGGAACAGAAAGGTTTTATTTCCGTGGAAAGGGAAAATTAAATACCTGGGAATTAATGCACTGGGACATTTTATTCTGCCATAGTAATGGAGAAAGGTTTTTTTGGTACTTGCTCTTTTATTGTGTATTTGGCTCTAGGTAAAGGGGCAAATTGATCCATCATAGTTTAGGAGGCAAAAGCCTTCTCTCAGAGCATATCTGAAAGTCATATTATACACATCTTTGGCGTTTTATACCGCAGTTACATCTGGCTCTATAATCGGGATCGGTACGAGGGTATCATACTGTTTAGCATCTTTGTCAGTGACATGGACAGTGGGATTGAGTGCACCCGCAGAAAGCTTGCGGATAACACCAAGCTGTGTGGTGCAGTCAATGTGCTAGAGGGAAGGGATGCCATCCAGAGGGACCTGGGCAGGCTTGAGAGGTGGTCCCATACCAACCCCATGAAGTTCAACAAGGCCAAGCGCAAGGTCCTGCATATGGGTCAAGGCAATCCCAAGCACAAATACAGGCTGGGCAGAAAATCGCTTGAGAGCAGCCCTGAGGAGGTTTTCGGGGTGTCAGTAGATGAAAAACTGAACATGAGCCAGCAGTGTGCATTTGTGACCCAGAAGGCCAACTGGATCCTCGGCTGCATCAAGAGAAGCGTGGCCAGCAGGTCGAGCGAGGTGATTCTGCCCCTCTGTTGTGAGACCCCACCTGGAGGACTGCATCCAGTTCTGGGCCCCCCCCCAATGCAAGAAGGATGTTGAGCTATTGGAGTGGGTCCAGAGGAGGGCCACCGAGATGATCAGAGGGCTGGAACACCTCCCCTATGAGGACAGGCTGAGAGAGTTGGGGTTGTTCAGCCTGGAGAAGAGAAGGCTCCGAGGAGACCTTATAGCAGCCTTCCAGTACCTGAAGGGGGCCTACAGGAAGGATGGGGAGGGACTCTTTACCAGGGAGTGTAGTGATAGGACAAGGGGTAATGGATTTAAACTGGAAGAGGGTGGATTTAGACTAGACATTACGAAGAAATTCTTTATTGTGAGGGTGGTGAGGCACTGAAACAGGTTGCCCAAAGAAGCTGTGGATGACCCCATCCCTGGATGTGTTAAAGGCCAGGCTGGATAAGGCTTTGAGCAACCTGGTCTAGTGGAAGGTGCCCATGTCCGGAGGGGTGGGACTCGGGGGTCTTTAAGGGCCCTTCCAACCCAAACCATTCTATGGTTCTATAATGTCATTAGATCTCTGGCTTTGTATTACGGAGTGGTGTTTGATGATAGAGTGCACAAAAAATCAAAATGACACAATTCAGAAGATAAAGGTAAGCTTAGGAGGAGGAAGAAATTACAACAGGCAATACTTATCTGCACTGTAATTGGCTGCAGATTGAGTTTGTATGTATCAGAAAGAAATCAGGATACTCTTCTTGTTCAGTATGAAACCTGTGATCGTGTTGATAGCAGCTCTAAAAATTACATGTCTTCACTTAATCTCCGATTCTGCAAAGGCTGGCACAGGTACTTAGCTTGGTTGTCTCTTGTACTGTGAGTCTGTGAAGCTCTGCTGAAGTCCATAGAGTTCCTCTATTTTCTAGAAAGTAAGCATAGGACACGTGAGTAGTCCTGAATATCCTGTGTGTGTTCAGTGGGCAAACAAAAAAAGTAGGCCTTGTAATAAATTATTTTTGAAAATTTAAAATACCCTCACATAAAAGCTTACCTACTAAACAGAGTAAATATGTCTCAGTGCAAAATACTGTGCAGTCCTCTTCTTGATTTTTCAGGTGTGGCTCAGAGTAAAAGCCCTGCCTTAGGCAGAACCAGCTGTTGGCATCTGAAATCTGTTAGACTTTCTCTCTGTAAACTTCTTTTATTTACATACTGAAGAAATTCCATAGAGATCATCCCAGGTTATGTAAATAGCACATATCTGGTAGTATACAGGTGTCTCAGCTGCATACTGCAACCTTCCCTGAGCTCAGTGCTGTCATCCCTGACTGGCCAGGCAGTTCAGTCAGTCCGGACTGGCAACTTTGGAGTAATTAGAAAAAAATATGATACTTCTTCCAAAAATGAAAATGTCTTTTGACTTATCTCTTTCCTGTGTGCTTAGAACAGATGTAAAATTATATTTTAAGTACTTATTGACAGCCAAACTTTAAGAAGATATTCTGTTCTCGGAGATAAAGACAATGTGTAGCATAGGCATCTCATAAGCAATTTCCCTGACTTCACCAAAAGACAGAAACCCTCTTGGCTTATGCAGTTTTGTGTTATTGCTTTCCCTGTGTGCCCCACTCACTGACAGTACTAGTTTGAAGCAGGAAACTAATTTTTTTAGTTTTACAGATTTTTACTCTGGAGGATCCTGACATCAGTTGCCAATGGATTAGCCAAAATTGCTACTTTTGTACTGGGAATAAAAGCAGAGGTGATGGTAGCATCCAGTAGCTGGTAAAAACAAAGACATGACATGAGCTACTGAAAACTGAGATAGACAAAAAGGGCTTTTCAGCACTCTCAGCCCTTGTTTGGGGCTTTCTAAGTGTGCAGACTGCAGCCTTGCTAATAATTGGCCAGAATACAACATGGAGCAGAGCACTCTCCACAGTGGACATCTTTCAAGATGTATTGTGAAATGAGAAAGACATAATGCAGGATAATTGGACTGAATTTCTGTGAGGAAGAATCAGTGGAACATATTCGCTACACTTTAAAAAGTACTTTGAACTGGCTTTTATTGTGAAGGTATTGCCAAAAGGAATGACTGAAGCAGGAAAACAACCTGTAAGAAAATTGGTAATATGAAAAGGACAAGGAAGGATATGAAAAGAAAATGCAGTGCTACTAAGTTGAAAACTCTCTGAGCATAGGAGGAGACCCTTTGTTTTTCTCAATGAACAAAATTTAGCACAATGGTTTTTTGTGACCAAAGTCTAAAGAACATAAGTGAGAAGACACTGAAGTACATTAGTCAGACAAACTTATTTTGAAGACTTCCATGTAGATATGATGACTGTAATTGTAAGAGAATATTGTCTGATTGTTTAAAATATTTCATCTTTCATTGTATCTTACACATTGCAATTTGCTTGGTAATATGATGTCCTTATGGTAATTGTGGTACAATATTGCACATAAGCAAAGAAAACATAGCTGAGTTTTGACACTGTGGCTGTTACTTACACCTGCATGTAGAGTTTTTTAGCCTTCTATGGTATGTGTATGTCTGCATGTTTATAATATATATACACAATAAAAGTTTATATAGACAAATACATTTTTTTATATTCTAACAATTTGGGAAGGTTACAGAATGTAAGGATTAGAAATGTCCCTAATATTTCAAGATAAATACATGGAAACAGATGAAATTATTTGTTTTGTAAAAGAGCTGCTTAAACTGACATGTACTGCTCAACTAGGCAGAACTTCAGAACAAATAACATTGAAAAGTGATTTGATGTTTGGACATCTTGCCATTTCCTTGAAGTAATTCCCACAGACCAAAGTTTGTCTACATGTAGTTTGCAGGATCAGAGCCCTCAAAATTTAGTTGAGGATCCTTTAGTTTTCAGCTTCAGATATGAAGTAGTAATCTACATTTTACTCTCTTGTTAGACATCTTTTTCAAGAATGGATATAGTTTCTTAAAGTTCACTGCAATGTTTCAGCAGCAATATTTAACTTATTTCTCATGCTTCATCACTGACTGGGTCACATGTTAGCTGACAGAGACTTGTCTTCACAGTGCTAGGATTTATTCTGTGCACCAAACATGGAAACTATGATGTGAGAAGCAAACTTGGAAGCTATGATGAAAGAAGTAAGCTCTTTCTTAAGGTATTCTTCTGATGTGTTCTTTTGTAATCATACAGAGAAACATAAGTTAATATTAGACAGTTTTTAGGATGGCTGATTGACTATGATTATGAAGTGTTCTCTAGTAATAAGGAGTTTTTTCTTTAGGATTGTCCTGTATCTCTTTCATTTGAGAGAACATCTGATTTTAGATCAAACAGCTGTTTCTCAGACAGGACTGGCTTCCATCAAGATAAGCAATTTTACAAAATATGGAAAGGGAAATCCTCCCTTGATTTCCATCAGCTTCTTCAGATCTGGGTTTCACCTGTAACCTCAGCTCATAACTCATCTGAGCACAACTAGCACAACTTGGTAAGGGAATATATAAACACGTATATACAATCTTCTCAGGTTTTAAAACTGTTGAACTCTGAAGTGTTCCAGAAAGGGACCCTTTCTAACCTTTGTGAAGGGCTGCAGTCTCTTCACTCAGTTAAGCATCATGGTGGACACCAAAAAGTTAGGACTAACTTGTCTTTCACTCTTCTGCTCTCTCTCAGTATTTCTTAATTCTGCATGAAAGTTGTGAATAATTGCACTTGATGATCTATCTTATTTTTTTTATTTAACCTACATGTAAATGCCTTTAAAAAAACGAGTTTTATAAACTACCATTTAAGCACTGAGGATTATTTTAGTTCTCTTATGACTGCGAGAAATGATTCCGTGAAGTACCATATTTTATGTTGTGCTGAAAAATATACGTACGGATATTTTTCCATTTCCTCCGTCTTACTCTTGCAAGGAAAGATAATGGCAGACCTTTTTTTTTTTTTTAGGGTTCAGTTGTAAAAGTTCAGCATAAACTAATTTGGAGATGGTTAAATGCTTATTAGCAGTCTGTCATAGAACTACTGTAAAAGTGCCAACTACAGTTATATCGAAACAAGCTCAGGTGGCTTCATGTCTCCACAGAGGATGGAGATTTAAACTTTGAAATAAAAAGGGCATAAAGATCTTCTTCAAGTAGAAGCTGGGTAAACTGGCAGCGCTCTCTGTAAAGTGAGTAATGGACAGCTATGCATAGCAGCCATCGTACTTGTAAATTTGAGCAATGTGTTTCGTTCGTATATTTCAGAACACTGAAAAGGTCACTGATTTCTACATATAGCCTCGTTGTATATTCCTCATGCATCCAACACTCTGTTTGAGTTGAGGTTTGTGGAGCTGTAGCTGTGAGAATTTGGATGGAAGAGAACTATGAATCCAGGAGACATAAATCTTGGGTACACCGCTAAAAATTCTGTGAAGAAAGTTAAGCTGTGTATCAAACTAATATCAATATTCATAATTCAGTATTGAGGACCATGTCCTGACTACCTTTCTGACATTTCAAGAATGACACTATTAGGGAAAACAAGTGCAGTCAGAATCTGGAGCTTACATAATTAAATTTGACTAGAAACTGTAAAAATAGTTGACATGATAGCGACATAAGGATGTGCTGTATAATGTCATTTTTAATGCATCATCGTAACTTAACACTGTTCTTCCAGTTTAACACTAATTAACATCTCTTGACTGTTTGTATTTGGCTTACAGTATGTCTCAATGTTATGTGTTGGGAATTGTAAAAGGTGCATGATTGTGCTGTTTCTGTTCAAGTTGTTTCTAATTAATAACTTCACTGTCCAGTGTTCTTTCAATAAGGGTACCTAATACAATATTTACATTATTTTGGCTTTTCAACCAAACTGAATGACACATCTCAATGTACAAGAAGATTCTACGCATGTGTGTATATCTGTGCATGTATACACATACACATACATGTGTTTATTGGTTTAGACACGATCTCTCACTTCTTTTCTAGTCATCTTGAGATTCTCAAATCTCAAGCATCTGGAAGAAATCATGACTTTTCATGAAAGCTGAAAGTCATTAATCTTGAGATTAGTTAATATACACTCTCATGGTATATTCACTAGACCTTCCTCTCTCCCCAAAATTCAGTGCATAAATAAAGGTCTAATGACTAACAGATGCCAGATAATGCAGGTTTCTTCTACCTGCATAAGTGGCTTAATGAGTCGAATGACTGTGTCTTTTTATCCCTTTGATCCTTTGAGTTTGTAACCACTAGATTACATGTATTTTTTATTCTTCTTCTGATTCCACAAAAAAAAGCATTTACCTTTCTTTTATGTTCTAAGTATCTGCTATTTTTTCATGCCAGAAAAAAAAATATTGACCTTTGTGGGTCCTTGGGCTGACCCAGAATAGTTGCTTTTCATTTGTTGAATTCAATTATCTTGGCCGAAACCAGGACAAGTAGCTAAATTTTGACGATTTTTCTAGAGTCTTAATAATTCAACTTTCAAGTAAGAAAGGAGTTGCTTTCAATAAAGTTTAAAGTTCAGCAATAAAAATATAAGAAATTTTTCAGGTTATTAACTGGAATACTATCTTTCTTATAAGAGTTTAAATAATTAGAGAAGTAAACAATGAATATTCACCCTAATTTCAGTGGGTTTTATATAAGGTTTAATATTATACTTCAAATAGTGTTCTTAAAATATGTTTGCAACATAAATTAAATAAAGAAAAGTTGCTACTAACTCTTAGAATAATTAAGATACTTTCAGTGTAATACATAAATATTAATAACATTGCACATGCAACTCTATTTTAGCTTAGTAATATCAAGTAGCCAAAACATAATTGAGACTGTGACAGGATTTGTGTGAGCTTTCTCCTTTGAAAGGATACTTCTGGTTTTGAATGACAAACACTACCTTTTGTAGCAGGTGGACAAAAGTAATTTTTTTATTTAAGAAAGCCAGATAATGGCATGTCTGCCTTACATTCAGTTAAATCTTTTGTGATGGGCTTTGAAGGGAGTGTTTTATGTTTTGCTTTTGTTTGGGATTTGGTTTTGCTTTGGGGTTATTTTTTGGTTTGGTTTTTACTGTCAGTCTTTGCTGAGAAGTTCCTGTAAATTGTTCTTTGAAGCAAGCTTTGACAAAATCTCTAGTTTGAAATAGAAACTGGAAAAGTGCAAAGCTACTGGGAGGAGAGTGCCTTCCTTCTTGTTGCCTGAGAATTTTTTATTTTATTTTTTTTTTTTAATGCAAGAGCTTGATAGAAAAACTAATGGTAGCATGGTAGACTAATACAACTTTATTTTGGTCTGAAAGGAATATGCTGTTATACAGTAATATACTGTATTTACTGAATTGGGGTTGCTTGAGTATTTTTTCCACTGATTTCCAAGCATCATTCTAAATATAATTTTCTGTTTGATCACTACTTGGATAATGTGAATGGTACCCATTATTGAAAGGTAGTCTGTATTTGTACTAATACAGAGAATGCCAGTTTAGAAATGAGCCTGATTGCATGGTTCATTTTGTTCTCCTTTGTAGAGCCAGGCTGCGGCCCACTACAAAGGCACTAAACATGCCAAGAAGCTCAAAGCACTGGAAGCCATGAAAAATAAGCAGAAATCTGTTACTACCAAGGACAGCGCAAAGACTACCTTCACTTCCATCACTACCAATACCATCAATACCAGCTCTGACAAAACAGGTTAAGCAACAATCTTTGTTGGTTTTGCTTTGGTTTTGTTTTGTTGTTTTTTTTTCTTGTTTAATTCCATGTCTGTTTGGTTAAGTGCTTGCCACATTGATTCATGCTCGATCCATCTTTCTGTGTGAGATTGATTTCTTTTAGTCCTTTCAGTAGGCTGGTGAGAGTATGATAGTTATGTAACTGATTTCTCTTAGTGAAAAGAGGCTTCATTCTTTTAGGACGGAATGCAATACTCATTACTTGATTAATTTTTATAGTGGCTAAACTGTTACATATCAACTGATCTGAACCTTCTAGTCTATATGTAGTATCTCTCTATAAATAATTACATATGGCACATTTCTTTTAACCACAAACAATGTATCAAGTTGCACTACTTGTGTCTAGAAGCCTCTTACAAGAGCATTGTTAGTGAAAACCTAATTTTCATAAATTTCAAACATTGCATTATTTTTTTCAAATGGCTATTGCATGGTTTTGAGCTGGAAAATAGCTGTATAACCTCTATTCCACACAATCAGGTAAGTGCTATTGATGCCAATTATTCTGCTTAAATGAGTCTTCAGGCTGAAATAATATCCTTAAAATCATTGTGTGGGTAAAAGGTACTCCTTTGCAAATAAAACCTGAGTATTTGGTAAAGTCAACAGGATTTGATTAAGCTCACATTTTAAATATGTGGGTATTGTACTGGAAATTTCGAAGGAAGGCTGTAAGTTCACTGAAGGGTACTCTTGTATCTTGCAAAGTATGACTGCTCTTGTGTATAAAGGGATACAGTTGCATTTTTAGTCATAATCGACCCCACTTCGCCAAACAAGCCAAAAAACATTCACAGCAGAAAAAGCCAAAGTGCTGAAACAACAGACTTTTCTACTGATGCTGAAAACTGCTTATTTGGAACCACTTCTGATGCAGTAAGTTTAGCATTGTAAATGGATGTGCACTAACCAATTATAGCATAACAAAACAGTACTTTGCAGACAAGTGTCATACTTTCCTTAAGACACATCTTTGCTATATTATTATAGACAGATACTTCTATGTCTATCTCTCTCCATATATCTTTGTTATAGACCTTTATTATAGACAGCATATGCTTTTATGGAGATTTATATCCTAATTATAATGAAATGGATTTAAAAAACAATTGTTACGTTATTTTTGTGTTTGTTAAAAAAAAAGATATTCTGAGTACTTTTGTTTCTGTGATGAAAGAAATGAAGCTTGGGAGAATAGGAACCATGTAAAAAGTTATTTATGATAATATATGTTTCTAAACATACAAATACCTTTAAAAGTTTCTCCTGGTTTTACCTGTTGGCATGTTCAGAACAGAAGGGGGTATATTGTATGGAAA